TGGGCAGGTTACATTATAAAAATGTTTGTCATAATCATGTCTTGTGATTATCTGACAGGAGTTTTACTTTTAAACTGTAAGTGTATTTAATTTAGTTAGGTTAGTTATGATAGTTTGGTTATGATGTAAATACAATAAAAATTAAACCAAGATTTAGATTAGAATAATTATCATTTTGATCCATACACTGGTAACGTCTGACTGGGCCTCGTGTCACTTTATGTTCAACAAAATGGGCCCCGAGTTCAAAAAGGTTAAGAACCCCTGTAATAGAGTGCTGTGTGAATGGATAAATGAGGATAAATGATTGTAGTGTAAAGTGCTTTGAATATCCTGGTTGGATAGAAAGGTGCTATATAAGAACAGTCCATTTATTATTACCATTTAGTCTATTCCCAATGCTAACCTGAACCAGAACTTAATTCATACCATACCTCTAAACTTAACTAGTGGAGCTGCAAAATAAGTGAGGAACAGGAAAATGTCCTCACTTGTAACCAATGACCTCACTTTATTGGTAAATATTGTAAAAGTGTTCCTTTGTATATAGTATAATAGTGTACACACACACACACACACTTGGCTCACCTCTCTTTCCAGTGAGGGCAAACTGGATGGCATTCCCTCCCACACCACAGAAGGCATCTATTACCAGCTGAGAGCTGGAGAAGATCTGGTCCACCCTGAGGGCGATGTGCTCCGCTATCCTCTCTGGGGTCACAGAGAACCACCCCTCTGAAACACAGAGTCAGGGAGTAACAACAGCAAGCCAAGTCTTCATCCTGCACTGTGCAAACTCACCTCTGTCCAACCTGATGCCTTCATCAAACCGAGAGAAGAGTCTGTAGCGCTGAGCCCAATATTTAGCTAGTTCAGGATCCGCTGCCATCTCTGGGGGAACTGGATGCTTCTTTCTTCTTTTCTTCTTCTTTGGTTTCTTCTTGTGACCTCCACTCAGCTCTACAGTTTTAACATTTTGCATTATTACACCTCAGCAGCCCAATTGTTTACAACGTCATTCCAAGAATTTAAGCTACGGCAGGGATGGGCAATCCTAGTCCTCGAGGGCTGCAGCCCTACAAGTTTTACATTTTTCCCTGCTCCAACTCACCTGATTCAGTCACTTAACTACCTCTCCCAAGTTCTGCAGTATGGAGGACCGACACTGACATAATTAGAAATAAAAGCAGAAATAGAGAAAGGAACCTTTAAATAATTAAACACTTTTAAAATGAACCAAATAAATTAAAAAGGAGAACTTTACCCTGTTTTATCATTTAATTGACCTTCATATTTATTTTTCCAGCTTAGTTCCAATAAATTATATATTTAAATTTTAATGTTTAATATATATTTTAATTTTTTCCCTTTTACTCATACATGCATTTGTGTCTCTTGAATGCTTAAATTGAATTATTTTTATAATTTTGTCCAACAAGTCTTTTTATTTCTATGTGTTGTATGTTTGTGCTGCCGCAGTTTAGCTTAAAGTTTAGTTAAAAATAAATGCACAGATAATGTTTTCCTCCTTGCCTTTGTTTTAAACTAAACTTTAAACATTTAGCTAAACTGAGGCAGCACAAGCCTGCAACACATAGAAATAAAAAGACTTATTGGAAAAAAATATAAAAATAATTAAGTATAAACATTTAAGACACACAAATGCATGTACAAGTAAAATAAAAACAATTAATATACATTTAAAAAAAGTACAATTTAAATTATGTGTTCAAATATATAGACTAATTTGTTGGAACTAACCTGGAAAAATCAATATGAAAGTCAATTAAAATATAAAACAAGAGATAAATTTCTCATTTTTTAATTTAATTGGTGCTTTTAAAGTGTATTTATTTAGTGGTTCATATAGTTCTTTTATTTGTATTTATGTCAGTTTTGGTCCTCCGTACTGCAAGAAGCCTGATAATCATTTACTCATTTACTATATCAGGTGTGTTGGAGCAGAGAAACAAGTAAAACATGCAGGGCTGCGGACCTCCAGGACCACGATTGCCCATGCCTGAGCTACAGTTACCTTCACATGTTTCTGGAGTTTGTAGAGACAGATGCTCGTCTTGCTCCGCCCCCACCTCCTCCTCCTCCACAGAGCCTGTAGTGAAGGCAGTGGTGTGTGAGCTACACTCCCCTGTTGTTTCATCTAAACTGGATTCAGAAGCAGAACTTTCTTCATCCACAGCCTCTTGGTTTTCAGTCTTCACTCTCTTCATGGCCTTGCTCCTCTTCTGTCTTTCTCCTGTGGTAAGACGTTTGTCCTCAGGTATGTGTCCTCCTCCACCCTCACATTGATCAAACTGACTCCTCTCTGCTCCTCTCTTCACCATCTTAAGGAAACTCTGAACCTGGAAAAACAGTAAATGTAGTATTATATTTTATTAATGGAAGTAAAGCTATTTAATGCTCTTTTGTATTTCTGGCTGTTACAGGAGTGAGGAAGTGAACGTATTGTTTTGTTGCAAACTAAAACTTTTCATTAAATAAGAAAGTATAAAATCAGAGGTTTAGACTAAGATAAACACTAAGCCTGAAAGTTACCAGCCTTACAGTCAGTAGAAACTTGTATAAACCTTGTAAAGAGAGGAGCTGGTCTGAGGCAGTGTCACGTCTCCACCATCCTCTGAGAACCTCTTGTGTTTATTAAAACACTTCTTCTTCTGATGCTTTGAAACTTTGGGGACTTTAAAACTCAGGACAGAGTCAAACCTGAGAAAAGAAAACAGAAAAAAGCTTAATTTAAAGCAGCTGTCCCGATATAACACTTCACACACATTCCAACATTAACTTTTTTAAAAAAATTTTTTAAACTTTCTCTTGGTAAACTAAGCAACAGCTGATTAGTACATATAATTTAGCTCTACTACGTACGTCATGCAAATAAACAGATTTTATTTTTATAAAAACAGTATGCACAGAACTAATTGTATGAGTGATTAAATATCTATAAAATCATAAAGAACAATAATTAACAGTAAAAGTTACGGAGTTAACTTTCTAAAGCTACGAGTAGCTGCCAGCTAAAAATCACTGGGGGTAATCACAGTCGCTCCCACTATACGAATGAGATGGACACCGCAGGGGGCATTCCAGTTTAAATTTACGAATGGGAGCAAGGAAATTTCCACTTCCCAGTGCTGCTGGAACGCACCACGAATCCTAGAATGAGATTATTAGTTTGGTTAGTACCTACTCTAACCTCCCTGTGTTGGACCGGGACAAGCTTCCTCCTTGTGAGTTTTGGAAATCTCACAATAAAGACGGTTAGAGTTCTTAGGTTGGTAGGGACACTGAAACCCTGTATTTTTTCAGCACTGGTACCACGTAATTAATTTTGATCGAATCGATGAGCTCCAGCCTTAACGGTTTTGTTAACAATGCTGAAATAGTGGAATGACTAATACGGACACGAGGCACGCTGCATTGTTCAGAAAAAATTAGCTTTCTTTTCCTCTCTGTCTGCTTCTCCTGTTGTCAGACTCAGCATGAAGGGGAGGAGCTGCTAACGACACAGGACTCCAGCAGGACTCGCATGAGCTGAAAAGGCATTTTATTTATGGAAAGAAGCAACGTTCTAAAACTAAAGTATCAACGGAGTTAGGCCTGTCACGATAACAAATTTTGCTGGGCGATTAATTGTCTCAAAAATTATTGCGATAAGCGATAATATTGCCTGGTGACCRTTTTACAACTAATAATTATAAAAGCATAATATGTAAGTGTAATAAATCAATAAACTTTAATTTTTTAAAGAATGTTTAACAAAGTGGACTCTCAGTCTCTAACAAAAAATGAATGAACTTGAATAAAAAAAAGAACAACAAAATGTAAATTAAAAACCACGCACAACTAAAACAATAAATAAACAATATTAAAGAGCAGCATCTCTTTAGAGATGAAGCAAACTACACAGCCTGGTGAGGACCCACTGTTTCTAATGGGGACATAAGCTCAGTTCACATCCCATGTAAAGTTTAGGCTAGGTTTAGGGTCAAATGGTGATAGAAAATACTGGTAAATGAATGAAAGTCAATGCAAAGTCCCCATGAGGATAGAAGAACAAACGTGTCTATGTGTGTGTGTGTGTGTGAGGAGGGGACAGTCAGGAGACAAGCAGATCTCTGCGGGGGAGGAAATCAGACAGTTCAGAGGTTTCCTCATGAGTTGTTTGGACAGCTACAGGTTTTTTGGGTGTTTTGTTAAAACACAGATGGTGCGTTTAAGTTTCCTGTTATTTTTGGGAGCTACAGGTAAAGTCTTGACGAGTTTGTCGCGGGTCTGGGGGAGTTTCAGCCCCCACCCCTTCTCCTC